CAATACAGAGGTGAGCACCTGCATTGTGCTGAGAGGTAGATTGGAACTTAAATCTTTGAAAAACTAGGGTTATTTAAACTTTACTACACTCATTTGTTCTGGTTTTAGCTTAAAATTTTAATTCAAAGAAAATTTCTGAAGTGAAAAAAGATCTTCAGGAGCTTGTTTTTGGTTGAATGGAGAGATAAAACAACTTCATAAAATAAATACCTACCTAATGCTCATGAGAGGTGTGCAAACTTGCCATTTGGGTCTTGACAACCACAGCACTGTGCTACCAAATAAAAGGGCAAGTCAGCAGCTGAACAATCAAGCAAACACAAGGATGAAGGGTTTCTAATACCTTATTCCAGAAGTTGGAAATTTTAGAGGTCCCTATAGAGATCTAAGTCTTTGTAAAGATCAAAAACTTTACAGAATAAACCTGGGGCAGCTTTGGTTAAACAACCACCTGACTGATGACATGACATGGCCCACTAGTCTCTAGAGTTAGTACTTGCTGCCATAAGAAAAAAATCAATGCATTAGGAATATTAATGTGAACTCACTCATATAAGGAATCAGAGAGTTCAGGAGGCACACAACATATATAGATTTGGTTAGTGCAGGATGAATTGACTTTCGAAACAAGTTAAAGCTCTACAGGGAAAGCCTCTAAATCATAACCTTGAACAACCATAAGTGAAATCCCCTTGTACTACTAATGTATGTTGATAAATCTTAAAAAAAAAAAATAACCCGCATTGGTGGCTCATGTCTATAATCCTAGATCCTCAGGAGGCTGAGGATTGTGAGGATTGTGGTTTGAAGCCAGCAGGCAGGAAACTTTGTGAGAGTCTTATCTATCAATTAACTACCAAACAGCCCAAAGTGGACCTGTGGCTCAAGTGTTTGATAGCCTTGAGAAAAAAGCTCAGGGACAGTGCTCAGACCCTGAGTTCAAGCCCAGGACCATCTCTCTGTCTCTGTTTCTCTCTCTTTCACACACACACACACACACACACACACACACACACACACACACACACACACACTGCTAAAATATAATAGCCATTAATAGTAATGGAGAAATCTACTAGATTTTTTTGCTACTAGATACATTATTATTGTGACTGTTTTTGGCAGTACTGGGGATAGGCCCCAGGGTCTTGCAAGTGATCACTGAGCTACACTCTCAACCCTCTGTCTTTTTTAACTAACAGAAAGACACATATTTAAATAATGTTCATGAAAAGGTAGGGAAAGGAAGTCTTATTAAGAATCAAAGTTTGTGTTTGCCACCAATGAAAATGAATTCATTATGTTCTTGAATTTATTTCCAGAAGCAACAATTCTTTAGCAACTTTGATTTTTGCAAATAACAAAGTAGCAAAATACAAGTAACTGCAACATATAAAATTATACTTCAGTAAAAATGCTTTTATAATTGGATCCAGAGGCTTGAAATCACTATTTACTTTAAAAAGACATATGCTAAGCCGTAATTTTTCTTTCAATTACATTTTAACAAATGAAGAAAGTGAAGATGGAAAAATGGTCCTAATACATTTTCTTGTTAAGTAAGTGTTACTCATGCCCAAGTTAGCTAGCAACTCTGAGGTTAGTTTGTATATCTGAAACAATCTATTGCACAGTATTTCCTGGCTTTACACCAATGGAAACATAACTTCTGATTGCAAGATAAGCACTAGATTTCATTGTTTATACAGACTGATAACCAGTACGACTTTTTCGTCTTCCAATCATATAAGATATAAATACAACAATTATAAGGGAGCCCAACGCCACACCCACTGCAACAGGAATAAGAAAGTTGAGGTCAGAGTCAGCAGAACATTCTTCAGCTGTTAGAAAAGAACAGACAGAGAGCAAGGAAAGGAAATTAGTAAAGGATGCAATTAAGTAGAAACAAACAAGAAATAAACATTTGAGTGTGCATTGGATTAGTCTTTTTCTTGGATTAACCTTATTTTTTTTCAAATTCCACCTGAACAATTCACAGCAGCTGGATCATCCCATATCTTACTATCACTTCATTTAAAATCACATCCAATTCCTCAGCACCAAAAGTAGATATTAAGTGGAGAATAAACGAGTCCAAATAGAGAATTATGTTTGCCCAGTATGGCATGATTTTACATTTAACTTTCTAATAGCACTGGAGAAAAGAGCAATCATCTACATGTAAAACAACTGCCTGTGGATTTTCTTCCTGTTTCTCCCTTGCCACATCTGACATTAAAATATAAATAAGAATGCTGAAGCAAATGGGGCTGGAAGTGTGGTTCAATGGTAGAGGGCTTGAGGCCCTAGCATGCTTGAGGCCCCGAGGTCCATCCCCAGCACCACATAAAAACATTGTATGGCTGGGAATGTGGCTTAGTGTTAGAGCGCTTGCCTAGCTGGGTTCAATTCCTCAGTACCACATAAACAGAAAAATATGGAAGTGGTGCTGTGGATCAAGTGGTAGAGTGCTAGCCTTGAGCAAAAGAAGCTCAGGGACAGTGCCCCGGCCCTGAGTTCAAGCCCCAGGACTGGCAAAAAAAAAAAAAAAGAATTGTCCATACAATTCAGTTAGGTTAAAAGTAGTTAGGATAAAGAAATACAGTACAGCCAGGTGTTTGTGGCTCACACCTACAATCCTAGCTACTCAGGAGGCTGGGATCTGAGGATTATAGTTCAAAACCAGCCAGGGCAGGAAAGTCTGTGAAACTCTTTATCTGTAATTAACCACCAGGTAACCTCAAGTAGAGCTGTGACACAAAGTGATAGAACACTAGCTTTGGGCAGAAAAGCTCAGGGACAATGCCCAGGCCCTGAGTTCAAGCCCCATGAATTAAAAAAAAAAGAAATAGCCTAATATTTTGATACAGACATTAGGTAGCTATGAGGTCATATAATTAATTTCTGCTGTTTGGTGGCCTGGAAAAATGACAGAATCAAATACACAGAAGTCCATTCCATTGCACTACCTGAAGGCACTGTATAATATAGGTTTTGAGCTCAGAATTCAACTAAATTTGAATCTTGACTCACTCAAGACTTAGCTGAAGGACCTTGTCCAAGTATTTAAACTAGGCCTCACTTTCCTCACATATAAAAGGGGGATGATGCTATATCCCCATTTTATAAAGTATTTGAGGATTAAATACATCTGAAAGCATCTGATAAACACCAGGTAGTCCACAATTTGTTCCCTTCTTTCTCTCAATCTCTGTAATCTCATCTAAAAACATAAAAAAGTTTGCCTTAGTAGAGGGGAGGGGGGAGGCTGGGAAGGGATGTGAAGGGTAAACAAAAGGAGGAGGCTGCAATGCTTGGTAAGAAATGTACGCATTATCCTGCCCATGTAATTGTAACCCCTCTGTACAGTATCTTCACAAATAAAATAAAATAAAATAAAAAAGTTAGCCTTAGTAAACAGAGGCCATAATGGAAGTGTTCTATATATTATTGGAAAGGCCAATATTTACTACTTAAAAGTACTTAAGGAAGCAAGGTATCAGTGGCTCAGGTCTGTAATCCTAGCTACTCAGAAGGCTGAGATCTGAGGATTGGGGATTGAAGCCAGCCTGGACAAGAAAGTCCATGAGACTCTCGTCTCCAACTAACCAGCAAAAAAAAAAAAGCTAAAAATGGAGCTATGGCTCAAATGGTAGAGACAGTGCCTAGGTCCTGAGTTCAAACTCTAGGATTGGCACACAACCATACTTAAGCAAAACAGTACAGGAACTCCAAGTGTCTAACTTTGATCTTATCATCTCCTGCATAAAATAGCAGCTAGCAGTTGTTTCCCTATTTAGATTTCATTTTTGGCAAAATACTAACAATAGCCTTGCTGTCCAGTGGACATGGAAACTCAGTGGAGTTACTCCCTTGTCTGCAAAATTATGGCATTTGAGTAAATAATCCTGAAGTTCCTTTCCAGCATAAGACTAATTACCCTAATGTAATATTTGGTGTATTTTGTGATATAAATGTGTATACTTTCTTTAATTTTTACTTTTCATCCTCTTATACTTTTGCTATTCACACAAAATTTGTTATGGTTCTAGAAACATAATGTGGATTTCATTAACCCCATTAGCCTCTTTGGAAGAACTTACTGTATTTTACTGAAAGCCCTCAAACACATCAAGAGCTGAGTAACAAGATACAGTGTGCTGTTAATCAGCAAATTCCAGAAACCTGAATGAGCCAACATATACATGCAAATTGATAACCTCTTCAGTATGAAACTCTTCTCATCTATTAAGCTTCCTTCTTATTTATGTATACATTCAATACCTGTGCTTCAATACGTTGGCCCATGTTTCAGTAAGGGCTGATTGTCTAGCTCATTTTAATGCCAGCAGCCTCTGTCTATGTCCCCACAATGGCCGTCTGGAAGAAGGAACAGCCTCCCACTATGCTTTACCACCTCCCTTCTTAGATTGATGTTAGCTTACATTTCATAAGTACCAGCATGATGACAAAACTAAATCAATTGTAATGCTCCAGAGATCAACAAGATGAGGTAGAAAAACACAACACAAATCTGTCCTAATTAGTTCATACACTATTTCTATCTTTCAATGTTAATCAGGCATCCAAAGAGCAAAGAAAAAAAGGAAACCAATGTAAGTGGTTATATATGTTTGAATCTTTTCAGTCTATACTGATGAAAAAGAAATAATAAAAGACCTTTAATTCTAAAACCAGCTTAAGTTTTGTGGAAGCCTCTTTGGGCTGTTTTTACCTAAGGGGGCGGGAGGAAATCACAAACATGAGGTAGTAATTTCGTCCATAACACGAATGGGAAAAACAACAACAGCAAAAGTCACAACTTTAAAAATGGGGATAGTCTTCAGGACAGACTCTACTTCACTCCACTGACAAATAAGGTTATGTATATCAGATGGGCATGAATTTCACATCAATACTTACTGAACGAACTATCTGCAAAGGTACAGTGATGAGTTTAAACCGGTATAGTTTCATGCATTGAAACAGAACACCAGTAGTGAAACAATATTTATTAATTCCAGTAAGATACAACTACGTATTTTATTCTTAAAATGACCATGTTAATAAATTTAAGGCATCTTAGTTTAGAACCAAAATTTGGCCAAAGCTTAAGACACATCTTAAAACATTACGTATCAAGAGTCTAACAAGTTGTCTCCAGGACCTGTAAATACAACACTTTCAACTTTAACCTCAAGGGAAGAACAGTTTTTATTAGTAAATACTAACCTCAAAATTCTGGGGTTTAGATTTAAGAATTAAAAGTTATCAGCATAGCAATTTTAAGGAACAGTGTTTCATACGCTAAGAAGCAGGGAAACTTTGTTATTTGCATGTATTTTTGTGTAATAAATCAGATTGCAGGTTTTAAAATTGCTCATATCCAGCATGATGGCGCTTGAGACCAATAAAATAAGCCAGCAACACTAGAATAAGTACTCCTGCCAAGGCTGCTCCCACCGCTATGGGCACAAGGAAGTTGTCGTCATCTGCACTGCAGTCTTGAGCTAGATGTGGAGAAAGGAAAATTGAGAACAGAAACAAAGACAAAATTCCATATCTACCCATTTTAAGTTAAAATGACAGCACTTCCCAACTCACCTATTTTATTCTGTTTTGTTGGTAAGACCGGGGTTTGAACTCAGAGCCTCATGTGTACTATGGAGGCACTCTACCACTTGAGCCACACTCCCAGCCTTTTTCTCAGACTCAAATACTTCCTCCTGTGCAACTGACCTTAGACCACAATCCTCTTATACCTCCCAAGTAACTAGAATCACAGACTTTACCATCACATCCAGCTTGTTTACTGAGATTGAGTCTCACTACTTATTGCCCAGGCTAACCTTGAAATTCAAGCCTCCTGCTCTCTGCCTCTCAGGTAGCTGGGATTACAAGTGTGCATCACTATGCTCAGCCCCACATTTCTTTTTTTAAATAAGTTTTTTATTGCAAAAATACTGTACAGAGGGATTATAATCACATGAGCAAGGTAATGAGTACATTTCTTATCAAGCATTGTTGCCTCCTCCTTTGATTTCTTTTGTTTTTAAACCAAGGTAACAAGTCATTGGCATTCATTATCAACAAATGAGGTAGATGTTTGAGTGAATCTCCAATAACCAAATCATATGCTTTTTGAAACAAAAAGGTCAATTATTGGTCAAAAAAGTATACAGTGATCACATAGTTCCCAGATTCCTTTAGCAAAAGATAACGAATGAATATAATTAGCTTTTCCTTGGGTGTGGGCCTTCAAAGGTAAAATGTTATGTTGAAAAAGTACATGGCCTGGAATAATGAACATTAGGAAATAACTCTCCAAGTAAACATCTATGCAAAGCAGACACAAGAAATGAATGAATAGCAATCCGAGGTCATTTCATAATGGTTAAGAAAGCTATAAAATGTCCATGGTGTCATAAGGGTTCATTTAAAGATGCTCAATCTGTAGTGACAGCTAGGCAAGGAAATCAATAGTTATAATTTGAAAATATGCCATGTGGTAGGGGCAACCAATACACAAAAGTTATTAGGGAAGTGTTTCACATACACACTCAACTCAGCCTTGTTACACAGCACTTTGAAAAGGTCACATTTGAGCTGATTTTTAAAGATAAATAGGAATTAACCAAGCAAGTAATCATTATAGAGATAAGAAAAAAAGAGGCAAAAAAACAGACTAAGAAAACATGGCACTACAGGGGCAAAGCAAGAAGATTAGCACAGCCAAAACATTGAGCCAAGAGGCAGAATACATACTAAGACCAGCTTACAGAACTAGCACATTATGCTTGGTTGTTATGCCTTATCCCAATGGGAAAAAGTCCTCATCAGCATATTTGTTTAAGAAATTATGGCAGATGGAAGACTAGCAGTAATTAAGTGAGGATGCATCCTTATTGCTAGAGGCCAATTACCCTATAACACAGACCTGAACTGGATAAATGAGGCACAGATGCAAGAGAGACTGAATATTCATTTCAAAGTTAGAATTGACCAAATAGAAGTACAGGGTATAGGAAGAGGTGATAACAAGATAGTTTCCAATTCTATACTTTATTATGTAAATGCTGGTGCCAGTCATTATGATAGTAATCCAAGAGGAAGAACTATGCATTTCAGATTTATTATGTTTGTAGGTGTTGAGAATGGATGGGTAGAAGATCAGGAAAAGATATGTGGAAGGGGGAGACACTCTGTTTTTTATTGAGTTTAAGGTATCTAAAGGGGCTATATAAACCTAAGTGGTAATAAAAATCATAGACAAACATTGTATTATAAACTGCTTTGTTAAGTGGCAACTACCTTGTACAACTACTTGAAAATGATTTAAAAAAGAAAAAAATCATAGACAAAGATACTTCTCAGTTTGCGAATAAAATTAGACCCAGAGACAAAACCCTTGGGAATACCAATATTTGAGGAACAAAGGAGTAGAAAAAGGGCACGTAGACAATGGTCCCACAGAAGCCAGGAAGGAAAGACCTTCAAAAAGTTTAGCATAAAATATTACAGAAGCCTGAAAAATATCCATTAGGTCTAGCAATACAGAAGGTAAAGGGTATTAGTCAAATTCTCCAGGTTTAAGAGTGTAGAGTGATTGTTTAGAAAAATCAAGAATCTGGAATATAAACACAATACTGCCCTCAATAGGTTGAAGGTTAAGAGAGGATAATATGGAGGGAGTTAGGAGGACATGAAGATGACATTTTTGTGGGACACACTTATACATGCTTACAGAATGAAACTTAGCTGCTTATAGGATGAGGAAAACTACCATTAGCAAATGGTAAGTTGAAGGTGTTGAATGGTACAAGGCCTCCTAAGAAGTAGATTCCAAAAGCCCTGGACAGGAAGATAGCATCCTATGACACTGGAGAAAAGTAATGGTGCAGATGGATGGACACACACCTGCACAGGGAAGAAAATGGCAAGGATGTGCAAGTGCCATTTCTATTCCCATTTCCTACTTCTCTTCTTGGCTTGCAATCTACCAGAGATCAATAAATCAGGTAATTATGCTTATTGGAATTGTGTTGAAATAAAAATGGACAGGGAAAGTGGTTCTGTGGCTCAAGTGGTAGAGCACTAGCCTTGAGCTGAAGAGCTCAGGGACAGTGACCAGCCCAGAGTTCAGGCCCCATGATTGACAAAAAAAGTAATAATAAAAATGGACAGGCTATGAGGCAATTTTAATTTAAGAAATGTGCCAGGCTTGTTTTTTTTGTTTGTATGTTTGTTTTGTTTGTCTGTTAAACTCTCGGGCAATAACTGGGAATAAGACGCAACCCTGGCACTTAATAGTTTTTGACATTGAGTTTGGCTGCCAATTCAATTAATTTTTAAAACTTAGTTTTATTAAGAATTGAGATAGCTGAAGTTGCCAGACGTGAGTTGTGAGTAGATGGGTGTTAAAAGTCCCCAGTTAGCTCATCCCCTTCAATTTCCCAAATTACCACCCAGCCAATAAAGTATTTGGTGACACATACCATAAAGTATTATGCCTTAGATTTAATATCTCTTGGATTTTACAAAATTCATTAGTGGATTCATTTCTTATTCTGGCAACAGACACATAGCCCTCTTTCCCAAATTGGGTATTTGACCTAGTACTGAAATGACTTTCATAAATACTGCCAATAAGGCTTTCACATAAGACAAATATTCCCAGAGCAGATCAAAAAGGCAATTCCACTAATACAAAGATGTTTCTAGATGCTGTCCCTTACTTAAAATGCTCTCAATTAGTATGTGAAATAAGAAAGCATTTCTGGGTGAAGGAAACATGTATTTATGTTCTGGTTTTTAGTACTGGAATTGAACTCAGGAACTCACATATGATAGGCAAGTTCTCTACCACTGAATTGCACCTTCAGTTCTGTGAAAGTCAAATAGCCACAGAAGTGATAAAATATTTTTAAAGATTAGAAAGTTGCATGACCACTGAAATTTCATTGAAAAGTTTCATGTAGATTAAAAATACTGCTAAAGCTGAGTGCTGGTGGCTCACATCTATAATCCTAGCTACTCAGGAGGCCGAAATCTAAGGAACACAGTTCGAGGAAGGAAAGTCTGTGAGACTCTTCTCTCCAATTAACCACTAAAACAGCCAGAAGTGGAGCTGTGGCTCAAGTGCTAGCCTTGAGCACAAAAGCTCAAACAGCGTCCAAACCCTGAGTGCAAATCCCAGGACTGGTACCAAAAGAACAAAATCAAATACTGTTAATCCTTGATTTTCAATTCAGAAATTTTCAAAGATAATTTTCAGCCAAAAAAATTGGAAAACAGAGCTATACTTACACCTCTCAGAAATGATTACTAATGTGAAAATGAACAATGAAGTTCACTGAGAGTGGTTTGAGAAGGAATTAGGGTAGTGAGGAAGAGCAATGGAAGGGGTTAAGTCTGATTAAGGTGCTCTCTCTCAGATGTGTGTGTGCGTGTGCATGTGCACACGTGTGTGTATGTGTGTGTGTAGGTATGACATGAAACTCTCTGAATAAGGTGACTCTAATTTAAAAATGAGGGAAAAGACAGAAGTAGAGCTGTGGCTCAAGTGGTAGCGCACTAGCCTTGAAAAAAGGTCAGGGAAAGAGCCCAGGCCCTGAGTTCAAGCCACAGGACCAGCACAAAAAAAAAAAAGAGGAAAAAGAACTAGGAAAGGAAATTAGTGAAATCTCATTTGTGAATGCACAGAAAAAGAATAAGTATTCTCTTTGAGCCTGGGGGGTGGTGGCTTATGGCTGTAATCCTAATTCTACACAGGATCATGGTTTGAAGCCAGCCCAGGCAGGAAAGTCTATAAATAAACTCATCTCAAATGAAGCACCAATCAACTGGAAATGGAACCCTGAACTCAAATGGTAGAGCACTAGACTTGAGCAAAAAAAAATCTCAAGGACAGAAACCAGGCCCCAAGTTCAAGCCCCAAGACTGGCCAAAAAAAAAAAAACAAAACCAAAACCAAAACACACCAGATTTCTTTCTTGAAGAGTTGGCTTTACAATCACATCCTTGGCAGAACCCAGGGCCTAATGCTTGTTAGGCAGGCTCTTTACACTTGACCTATAACCCAAATCTCTACATATCATATTCTTTTTTTTGGGGGGGGGTCCGGTCGTGGGGCCTGAACTCTGGGCCTGGGCACTGTCCCTCAGCTCTTCAGCTCAAGGCTAGTGCTCTACCACTTGAGCCACAGCGCCACTTCCGGCTTTTTTCTTTTTGCTTATGTGGATCGAACCCAGGGCCTCATGCATGCAAGGCAAGCGCTCTACCACTGAGCCACCTTCCCAGCCCCAATATCATATTCTTAATGTGACATCTTTTCTATATCCCTTTTAGATCTATACTCAAATTGTTTGAAGTGTATCACATGGAACTGAAGAAATATTTGAAGTTACTCAGTATAACTTATGCAAGCCCCATGATCAACAAAAAATCAAGAAGTACAAAACATGCAGTAAACTTGCATGGTACAGACTATACTGAAGTAATATATGCTCTT